GAAGTGTTTTCAAATTAGACTGCAATAATGTACATCTTAGATAATGATGTCTGAAGCAAAGGTTTCAACTGTTAACTAAAAATCCTCTGCATTCCAGTCACAAAACTTTAACTTGGTTCTACCACAAAAGAATTCTTTGACTTAGGAAAGTCTTTTAAACTCTGGACCTAATTTTCCTATCAGTAAAATTAGATGAATTAGTTAGGCTACAATAATTCGCAAGAAGCTCTACTCTGGTCTTCTGACCCAGTTTTCTACTTCCCTTCACTAACAGAAAAATACAATCATGGATCTTCTACAACTTCTGAAGGGTATTAGTTGAGCTTGGGAGAGTTACATCTTGAAATCTTCAAAGTCCAAACCACATTTTTTGACCACAATTTCTTACCCCTTTAGCTATGTCTCCATTATGTATCTCTTGTGCATATCTAACTTCAGACTTTTCCTCCCTTTATCCCAGTCCATTAAGCCCTTCTAAATTACACATTAATTCTGACGTTTTATTGACTCTATGATGGTTTTCTCCCCACATGTTAACAATTCTATAGTAGTTGGCATGCCTGTAAGAATTTACTGGCAGTGTTTTCTCTGTCTTAGTGGCAAATAGTGGTTTGTTACAACTAATGGCATCCTGGATGCAACAAACACAGTACTTGCCAATACTTTCTTTTTACCAAAGTCATCCTTATAAATCCTCAATCTTAAGTCTCAGTCACCCAAGTCATTGTTTCTTGTTGTATCTTTCTCATTCTTCATATGGAATGCTACTAATTTTTATCCTTTTTCCTCCCTATTTAGTTCTCCAATCTATTTTTGCTTTGAGCTAAATAATCTTCCTTTTCTGCCATCTACTCCTTCAAGTCTATTCATCACACTGCCAAAATGAGATTCTTAAGGTGTACATATGATCTAGTTACTTTTTTATGTAATATTTTTTAAAGACTCCTACCACCCAAGGATAAAATTGGCAACAAGTGTTTTTGAAAATGCCACCACCCATTTTCTAGCTCTTTCTTTGATGGGGACTGGAACTTCACAGCTCTGTGTAATCTGTGTAAATATGACCTACGCAAGGCTGACCACAGTTGGTCAATTACCTAACGTAGAGTGGCAGTCTGGCTAATCCTTTGTTGAAACTACTGGGAAGAAGGTAGTCTAAGAAGGTAGGATGTAAATTTTGAACTGCTGCTGGCCATCTCTGCCATTTTGTGGGTAGAGCTTGCTTGAGAATAAAGTCAACATAGAGGAAGCAGAGCTGAGAGAGGAAAAGAAACATGCTTGCCACAATTTTTGAGCGCCTACATCCAGTGGTGCCGGAAGCATCTTCAAGCCCTAGACTTTTCAGTTACATAAGTTTAAACATTTCCATTTTTAAGCCAGTTTTTGCCAGAGTCTGAATTTCGTTTCTGTCACTTTCAATTAAAAGAATTCTGAATCATACAAAATCCACACTCCTTTACGTGGTATAAAAAAGCCTCTATGATCTTACTTCGGCCCACTGTTCCAACCACACGGCCTTCACACTCAACCCTCTTGCCTTATTATTTGCAGTTACCCACAATTCTGCAATTACTATCATATTGTTACCCAGCCTTTATGACTATGCACATTCGGCTCCACCTGCCTAGAATGCATTCTCTTCACTGGTCTAGAGAAGTCCTAGTTGAATTCTTTTACTATATTGTGAGATCCTGTCTCATATCTGAACTCCCAAGTAAAGTTGAGGGATTCCCTCCTGTCCCTTAAAGCTATTTAATTATATATGCTATTATCCTGCTGCCAGAAAACCTTTCTAGATTCCCTAGTCTCTCCTTTGTACTTACAAGTCTGTTTATTTTTCAAATATTTACTTGGCCAAGTATGTGTCAGACACAGGATTAGATATACAAAAGTGTTTCTTATCTCAAGAACATATTTCACTAGATAATACAAACTAGTAAAGTAGGCGATTTCAGTAGAGTAACAGATTCCTAGAAGAGGGGCTATGTAAATTGAGATGTGGGAGATGAGCAGGAGGTACCTAAAGATGATGGAAGAAAGAAGTGTTTCATAGAATAAGATTAGCACACTAGTGGCTAACAGAGCTTAGTAACCAAAGGTAAAATTTAGGTAACAGTCTGTCTTCAACTGTGACTATTTGAATACGTAGTTCTCTTCTCCATTATTTTATGTATTCTTTGGGGAGATTAATTTCTTGGTTTCTCTCTCCTTCAAGTCTTACAGTATTGAACAGATCTAAATCCTCTTTTACATAAGTTAGGAATGGAAGAGTTGGAGATTTCATTTATTTGTTATTCATTCTGCTGAAATCAGTTTCTTTCTTGATATTTGGATTCTTAAGCTAGTATAATTTAAGATGGTAAAATGCAATTATTAACAGAATCTATTACTTACCGTTCTCTTTCTCCAGTTTCTATCAACTTTTGGTTAATTGCTGCTCTCATCTGCGCATCTTTGTTCATCTTGCTAACCTGAACATCAACATTTATTTTCAGATACAAAACACACAGCATTTTCTTCTAAATCCTCTAGGCAAGCACCCTAATACGTTGAACATTCTGTCTACTAACTGAATGGGTGATAACAATAGCTATTAACAAGATCACTGTTCTTAATGTTATTTATTGCACCCGGAAGTGTCATACTAATTTCCTCTGCAAAGTAGTTTGAACAGCAAGGTCAGTGGTTCCAGCTCACCAGCTACTCCTTGGAAACCCTATACAGGGTCGCTATGGGTTGGAACCGACTCGATGGCACTTAACAACAACAACAACAACCATGTATTAATGTGTCTTTGGACAATGATAATAACATTTATTAAACAGTTATATACCTAATAATTTATTAATCATTTTGATTAAAAACCAAAACAACTCAATTCCCAGAATGACCTTTATATAACTAACAATTTGTATTTTACAGATGAGGAAACTGAGGCACGGAGTTAGAAAATAGTTTAGAAAGGATTTGAAATTAGGCACTTTGACCCCACAATGGCCAGACTGTCTCTCATACTTCGGACATATTGTTAGGATATCATGTTTGGTATAATGGAGGGCTGGAGAAAAAGAGGAAGACCCTCAATAAATGGATTGGCACAGTGGGAGCAGCTATGGGCTCCTATGTAGCAACGATTGTGAGGTTGGCATGGGACTGGGCAATGTTTCACTCTGTGTGCATAATGTCACTACGAATCTGTACCAACTCGATTGCAACTTACAATAATGTCATCTTGGATGCAACACACAATGTATAGATAATCATTTATACACTGGAAGCCATATAATTCAAATATCATTAAGAGATTAATCACTATTCATAAAAAAAAGCGCAGGTTAAGGCTCTAAAATGTGTAGTTCTTCACTAGGGTGTATCAGGAGTCCTGGTGAGGTACTGCAGGGCAAGCACTGGACTGCAAACCACAAGGTCAGTGGTTCAAACCTATCAGTCACTCTTCCAAAACCGGAGACAGGGTAGCTAGCTATGAGTCAGAACTGGCTGGACAGCACTTAACAGCAACAGGGTGTATCCAGTGGAGCCCAGGTGTGGTGCTGTAAGATAAGTACTGGACGGCTAATCACAATGTCTACAGTTCAAATCCACCAGTAGATGCTCCTTCGAAACCCTACATAAGGGTCTCTGTGAGTCAGAACCAACTTGAAGGCACCGAAGAACAACAAAGTTGTGTCCAAATTTGTTTCATCCAGATTTAGACTTAATTTCATTAGTTGTAGGTGATAGATAAATAAGCTCTTTATCAAAGTCTCTTGGTGAGATAAGAGGAAAAAAAAAATCGCAAACTGATTTCTAACTTAGAAAATGCCCTTTTAAAATTAAAATCCCAGGCAACCAATAACCAAAATGATGTTCTTATGTGCCGTAGAGTCGGTTCCGACTCATAGTGACCCTATATAGGGTTTCCAAGGCGCAGCTGCTGGGTTTGAACCACCGACCTTGTAGTTCAAACCAACCTTGTGGTCCGATGCTTTCTCCGTTGAAAGTTTGTTGTTAAGTGCCGTCGAGTCGGTTCCGACCTATAGCGACACTGTACAGGGTTTCCGAGGGTGTAAATCTTTACGGGAGCAGACAGCCTCATCTTTCTCCCGCGGAGCGGCTGGTAGTTTCGAACTGCTGACCTTAAGATTCTCAGTCCGATTCGTAACCACTACGTTGAAAGTTTAGGTAAAATAAAATTTGGAATAATCTAAGTTTCCCACTTAACCTGTCACTTACTTTTGTTTTTGTCAGTCATTTTGCCTGTGTGACTCAGGATGGCCATGAGTTTTCAGAGTTGGATTTATTTTGTTTTGGAGAGATTAAGAAAGGACTAGGAAATGTTTTCTGTTGTAGAAATCTAACGTTTTCAAAACTAAGGTCTAATTAATATCATTGTTAGAATTTTGAACTTGATTTCACCTTAGCCCTTAAAAATACGGATAGTGACCTTGGACAAGTCACTTAATTCTTAAAGGCCTCAGTTTTCTCACTGGTAAAACAAGGGCGCTAGGGGATTCCTCCAAGCCCTCCCAGTTCGGACTTTCTTTGGGAAAATAAGGAAAGGGCGGAGACAGCGGGAGAGGCGGGAGGGGAGGAGCCAGAAAACAAAGCGAGGACTGGCTTCAGGCCAATTCTAGTAGCACGCCCTGCCGGAGAGCCCTACAGGCCCGCGAGCGCGGGTAGGGGAAGCTAACGAAAGACAGCACATCGAAAGGAGCCTGGGCTGGGCCCGGGTCCCGGCCCTGAGGACCACGGGCATAGCTCACCACCATCACCGCGGGCGAGGGCCGTCCCTTCCCAGCGACGAAATGACCCTTGCGCTGACGACCGTTACCTACCACACTCTTCAGCTGCCCAGACTTAGACCCTCAGTAGCTCGGGCACCTAAGCACACAGAAAGCTACAACACGCATTTCCGGGGCGGGGTCTAAGTCTCCCTGCCTATACTGTGATAATTTAACCAGCGCGGGCCACCTCCTAGTCGCTCAGCCCTCTGGGTATAGGAGTCCAGACGTTTTTTGTTGCGCAGGCGTTAAGTCCTTGAAAAACTATACAGACCAGCATGCAACAGGGTCAATTTTCTCTTGGGCACTACATTTCCCAGAAATCACTTTGCACCGCAGTGTTTGCTGGGATGGGAACCACGCTGTTCCCCTGTCTTCTTGGGACAAGTGAAGCGCGGACTTTTCAACAAGAGCTTTATTAATTCTTACGCTACGGATTTGGCAGGCGATGGAAGTGGCGGCTAATTGCTCTTTGCGGGTGAAGAGGCCTCTGTTGGATCCCCGTTTCGAGGGTTACAAGCTCTCCCTCGAACCACTGCCCTGTTACCAGCTGGAGCTTGACGCAGGTGGGAAGTAGCGGCGCCCCCTTGCACTTCGTTCCTTTCCCCTATCGGCTGCCATCTGTGGGACCTTGCTTGCTTTTTCTTCCTTCCTTGAAGTTGGGCCGGGCAGTCAGTGCCACTGTGACCTTAAGACCCATCTGGTTTGGGGTGGACTCGGTGGCCGACCCCGGAGAAGGGCACCCATCCCGCAACTCTAAGAGAGCCTCCTTCCTGCATCCCCATTGGGTAGCCGGACTCCGGGTTTGTCCCCCTCTCTGTCGCTCGGGCTCCTCTGCGTCTAGGTCCCAGGCCCGGACCTCGCTGCGGGGAAAGCTCAGGGCATGCCATCCTCCTGCAGCATCCTCTACGTTCGTGTTGAGTAACCACACTTCTCCAACTCCTATTTCCTCCTACTGAGAACTCTTTTTGTCAGAAAAGAAACGCCATCCCTTCCATTTCAGAGCATTTTTCACTTAGTCCTTGTTAGAAGGATCCCATAACAGAGAACGTCTCCAGCAACAATTGAGGGAAAGTTAACTTAGTACCCACACTTCTACTTGTTTTGTTTATCTGTAGTTAGCTAGAATAGTCTCACCCACGCCCTTGACTTTACGTTGTAGAGAACTTTGGTTAATGAAGAGGGGGCCATTGTTGCTGTTTTAAAGTGCTATCGAGTCGGATCCGACTCCGAGTGATGACTCTATTGTATAGGGTTTCCAAGGAGCGGCTGGTGGGTTTGAACCGCCGACTTTGTGTGAGCAGCCCACAGCTCATCCTACATCGCCACACTAGGACTCCAACCTGCACTTTTATTTCAAACCCCTCCCCACTGTGATACATGTCAATGTATCTATTTGAGAATCCTAACTTAGAGTTCACCCTCGGAAACCCTGTACAGGGTCGCTATGGGTCGGAACCGACTCGACGGCATGTAACAACAACAACAACAACTTAGAGTTCATTATGCAAAGCCGTTTGCACTGCAATTTCGGCGGTTCAAGCTCACCAGCTGCTCTTTGGAAACCCTATACAGGGTCGCTATGGGTCGAAATCGACTCGACAGCACTTAACAACAACAAATCAATTGAGTGTTTGCTTATTAACTAATTTATTAAATTAAGAAACATCTGTCAATGTCCATGTTTGACGATATTAAGATGAATGAGACACAGTCTGTAATATAGAAGTGTTATTGGAAGAAAAGTGTAAATAGATCATTCTAAAACAATAATAGAGAGGCAGTGGTAGGTATACATATGAAATATAATGGTAGCACTTGAGAGTTAAGCCCTAGTGTGGCACAGAAGGATAAGCATTGGACTGGTGACTTCAAGGTCATCAGTTCAAACCCACCATCTGTTCTCGGAAACTCTATTATTGTAGGGTACCCTTGAGTCGATTCCAACTGTTAGTGATCCTTATGCATAACATAATGAAGCCGGTCATGCTCCATCCTCACTATCATTGTTACACTTGAGCCCATTGAGTTCTGACCTTCCTTCCAGTTAACCAAGCATGATGTCCTTCTCCACAGATTGGTGCCTCATGATAGTATGTCGGAAGGATGAGAGATCAAGGCTGTCCAGCTTGGCTTCTAAGGAGCATTCTTCTGTTTAGTTCTTCTGGTAGTCCATGGTACTTTTAATATTCTCCTACACCATAACTCAAATACATCAATTCTTCTGTGGGCTTCTTTTTTCATTGTTTTACTTTCACATGCATATGAGGTTATTGAAAATACCATGGGTTGGGTCGTACACACTTTCATCCTCAAACTGACATCTTTGCTTTTGAACACTGTAAAGAGGTCTTGTGCAGCAGATTTGCCTAATGCAACATTTCTTGACTGCTGCTTCCATGAGTGTTGATAGTGGGTACAAGCAAAAAGAAGTCTTTTACAACTTCAGTCATTTCAACATGTGTCATAATGTTATTTATTGGTCCAATGGTGAGGACTTTTGTTTTCTTTACATTGAGATGAAACACATAGTGGAGGTTGTGGTTTTTGATCTTCATCAGTAAGTATTTTAAGTCCGCTTCTCTTTGAGCAAACAAGGTTGCATCATAGGTATAACACGGATTGTTAATGAGTCTTCCTCCAATTCCTGATGACACATTCTTCATGTTATCCAGCTTCTCGGATTATTTTCCTAGCATACAGATTGAATAAGTATGGTGAAAGAATATAAACCTGGCACACACCTTTCTTAATTTTAACCCATTCAGTGTTGCCTTGTTCTTTTTGAACAACTGCCTCTTGGTCTGTATACATGTTCCTCAAGATTATAATCAAATATTCTGGATTACCCATTTGTAATGTTATCCATAGCTTGTCGTGATCCACATAGTCTAAAGCCTTTGCAAAGTCAATAAAGCACAGGTAAACATCTTTCTGGCCATCTCTGCTTTCAGCCAAGATTCATCTGATATCAGCAGTAATATTCTTTTACGCTGTCATCTGAATCCGGCTTGAACCCCTAGCAGTTTCCTGTCAATGTATAGTTGCAGCCGTTTTTGAGTTATTTTTAGCAAAATTTTGCTTGCATGTGATATTAATGATACTGTGATGATTTCCACATTCTGTTGGGTCCCCTCTTTTTGGAATGGGCACAAATATGGTTCTCTTCCAATCAGTTGGTGAGGTAGCTGCCTTTCAAATTTCTTGGCATAAATGAGTGGGTGCCTCCAGCACTGCATCTGTTTGTTGAAGGATTTCATTTTGTAGTCCATCAATTATAGAACCTTGTTTTTTGCTAATGCCTTCAGTGCACATTGAACTTCTTCCTTCAGTACCATTGACTCTTGATCATATGCTACCTCTTGAAATGGTTGAACATTGACCATTTCCTTTTAGTATAATAACTCTGTGTAGTCTTTCCATCTTTTGATGATTTCTGTAACATTCAGTATTTTGTCCATAGAATTCTTTAATATTTCAAGTTTAGGCTTGAATTTTTTCTTCAGTCCTTTTAGCTTGAGAAATACTAAGCTTGTTCTTTCCTTTTGGTTTTGTAACTCCAGGTCTTTGCACAGTTCATTATAATGCTTAAATTTCTTCTTGAGGTACCCTCTGAAATGTTCTGTTCAGGCTCTTTTACATCCTCATTTCTTCCATTCACTTTAGCATCTCTATGGTGGAGATCAAGTTTCAGAATCTCTTCTGACATCCATTTTGGTCATTTCGTTCTTTCTATCTTCTTAATGACCTTTTGCTTTCTTCTTCTATGATGCTTTTGATGTATCATCCCATAACTCTTCTGGTCTTCGGTTATTAATTAGTGTGTGATGCATTTATTCTCTTCTTGAGATGGCATCTGAATTCAGGTAGGATATGTTCAAAGTTTTATTTTGGCTCTTGTGAACTTGTTTTAATTTTCTTAAACTTAAACTTGCAAATGAACAATTGATTAGGTCTGTTCCACAGTCTGGTTTTGTCCTGGTTTTGACTGATGATATGGAGCTTTTCCACCATCTCTTGCTTTGATTTCTATGTATTCATTTGTTGAGGTCCATGTGTATAATCTTCTATGTTGTTTTAAAAAGGTATCTGCAATAAAGAAGTCATTGGTCTTGCAAAATTCTGTCATGTGATCTCTAGCATAGTTTCTGTCACCAAAGCCATATTTTCCAACTACTGATCCTCCCTCTTTGTTTCTCACCAGTAATTATCAATACATCTTGATCATATATTTGATCAATTTTTAGAATGAAGAAGTTGGTAGAATTCTTCAATTTCATCACTACTGCCATTAGTGGTTGGTGCATAAACTTGAATTGTAATGGTATAAACTGATCTTCCTTGTAGGCACATGGGTATTATCCTCATTGTTCTATTACAGACAGCATTATACTTCAAGATCGATCTTGCAGTGTTCTCTTTGATGACAAATGCAACACCATTCCTCTTCTATTTATTCAGTTTTCCTGGTATAGTGAACCATATGACTGCCAAATTCAGAATGGCCAATACCAGTCCATTTCAGTTCACTATAACTTAAGATACCGATCTTTATGCATTCTATTTTGATTTTCACAACTTTCAATTTTCCTAGATTCATGCTTCGTACAATCCATGTGGTGATTATTAATGGATTTTATGGCTGTTTCTCCTCTTTGTGAGTTTTGTTCTATCAGCAATGAAGGTCCTGAAAGCTTTACTCCATTTATGTCATCAAGGTAAAACCTACTTTGAGGAGGCAGCTCTTTCCCACTTGTGTTTTGAATGCTTTGCAACCGAGGAGCTCATCTTTTGGGACCATATCTTGACACTATTCTGGTACTGTTCTTAATGTTTCAGCATTCTGGTGCTGATAGTGTTCCACTGCTCTTCATAAGGTTTTCAGTGGCTAAACAGTTAGGAGTAGTCCACATCTCCTTCTTAGTCTGGAAGCTCAGCTGTGACCTGTCAACCATGGGTGACCCTGCTGGTTTTAAAACTACCTGTGGCATAGCTTGCAGCATCACAGCAACATGCAAGCCACCACAGTATGACAAACTGACAGAAGAATGGTGGCGGAAACCCTATGTAGGATTGACTTGAAACTGACTTGAGGGCACACAACAGCAACAACACCTAAGAATCTTCCCTAAAATAGCTGAGGGGTTTTGAAAATGTTACTGGAGGTGTCAGCGTCTAAGTTGTGCTTTAATTGATAACATGGGACTCCATGAGTTGTAATCCACTGAAGGACAACTAACAAGAAGGGATGATCAGCATAAAAGAAGATGAGCTTGGTTTTTCTTTTTACAAGTCCCCTTCCCATCACCCTCCCCTGTTTTTCCAGTATCTCCACATCAGTAAATGGTGCCAACATGCTTAGTTTGCCAATCCTGTATTCAAAACAAAACACAAGCCTCCTTATAATTCAATGGCTTAAAACAATAAGCAGTTATTAGTGCTGACTGGTCTACAGGCCGGTTGCATGGTTATTCTAATTTTGACTGGCCACACTCATATATCTTAAGTCAGTCATGAGTCTGGGAGCCAGTTTTATTCATCTTTGCTGGACCTTCTTGAATCTTTC